CCTGGCAGTGCTCAAGGCCAGGTTGGACACAGGGGCTTGGAGCAAGCTGCTCCAGTGGAAGGGGTCCCTGCCTGTGGCAGGGGTTGGAGCTGGAAGAGCTTTAAGGTCCCTTCCAACCCAAACCATCCTGTGGTTCTATAAGGCTGGGAACTGGCGTGGCCCCCATAAGGCAGCAGCGATGCTCCTTTACCCACTGATGGCGTGAGAACGCTCCTGGGTTGCACAGATGAGAAGCTGTGCAAGCATCCCCCCCCCAGACCTTTCCTGTTTCACTGGGGGGCACCGGCAGCGCTGCAGGGGCTGGTGCTTTGCTGAGGTTTGGGTTTGATTTGTGCTGCTGCTGCATTTAGCTCCGAGTGCAACTTCCCTCCTGGTTTGGGTGAGGTGTCTCCCACTTGTTCTTGTAATGCAACAGTTTGACACCGTGAGCAATGTAGGGATGGAGCCGTCTGATGCTCTGCTTCATTCTCATTAGTGGGAGCAGCTGTTTAGAACACCCTTGGAATCTTAACTCCAGGCAGAAAGAAGGAGCTTGGAGAGGCAGGAGCTGTGCTTCCCGCCTCCCAGAGGGAAGGGTTTGGGATTAGCTTCAGGATATTCCAAAAGTGAGAAATGTGAGGCATTCTGCACCCTGGAAGTGGTTTCCTGACCCCTCCATTTAGTCCATGTGAGCCCATGTGTGGTCCAGGAGGGAAGCTGGGCATAGGGAAGCATTTCCCATCCTCTGAAGTTGTTTTGCTTGTTGGAGATGCCTGGGAATCCTGTTAGTGCTTATCACAGGCCTGGGCAACCGAGTGGCTGGACCAGATTTGGTGTGAGAAAGGTGCTTTCCCCATCTCCCATGGGGTGCTGTGTGGGGTGCCCCCGGGGGACCAGTGGAGCTTGGGAATGAGCTCTTTTGTACCCTGTTTCCCCCCAGTTTTGTTGCCTCTGATCGTTATTTCCTCTCCCACCCCCCCAGTTTTAGCCCTTTGGGTGCTAATGTCGGTGTCCGAATATCCCACAGGGATAACAGGCGGGATCACAGAGCCTCAGTGGCCTCTAGTGGCTGTGGGACAAAGAGCCTGGGGACGAGGGACCTGCAGCCCCTCAAGCCCCCCAAACAAGCAGCAGTTTGGGTCCACACCATCAGAAGTCCCTTTCCTAGGTCAATACCCAAAGGTACAGGGGATTTAAGCAAAAAAAGGGCCCCATTTGATGGAGGAGCACCCAGTAGGAGGGCGCTGCATCCCAAATCCCCCTGGGCCAAGCAGGGTGCAGAGATTTGGAGCATGGGATTGGTTTTTTCCTCACTCTTGTGTTAAAATGTGGGAGGAAAACCAGAGGTTTTCTGCAGGGCAGAATTCCCTTCATGTTTTATCCATTCCCTTTTTGCTAAAGCAGGTTTTCTGCTGGTATAAAACATGAGCCCCATGTGGTTGAAAACGGTCTTGAAGGACCAAAAAGGGTTTGATACCATTAAACCGACCAGTTTTGTGTTCCCCCCACCAAAGGTCACTAAACCTGCCCTATTGTGAGCAACTGTGATTTTCCCATAAGGAAAAGAGTGGGGAAAACTGTCCCCATTTTATTCCCCAAACCCACAGCATTTGGGAGCGGGATGGAGCATCCCTGCCCTCGGCACGCTGCTCCCCGTCCCACGCCGTCCCTCCTGGCTCCCCCCACAACAAATAAATCCCTTTGCAGGGGAGTGCTGGCCTAGTTTAACATGCCCTAGTTCTGGTGGGAAAGAAGGAAACAGAAAAGAGACTATTTATTTTGGGCAGTTGCTCCATGGGCATCCTTTTGGGGGGGAAGAGCTTGGGGGGGGGGGGGGTTGCCCATTGCAACCCCCTGCCTTCGACCTTTGGGGTGGGTTTGTGCTTGTGGGTTATTGCAAACTGCTCTGGAGAGGTGGGAAATGACCCAAAATGAGCATCCATTGATTGCCCTGAGCCCCCCATCACTGGCATCACCCCTTGGGAGTTCATGCGATGCAAAGGGCTGATGCTGCAACTGATGTGAGGGCTTCAAGCCTATAGAAATCAGTAGCTTTAGAGATGGGTTAAAATACCACCCCCCCCCCCATTCTTGGGTGTGAGGGGCAGCAAGTGCTTCATCACCTTCCTCCAGTGCCAGAATCCCTGCAGAAATGGGATTAAAGGGCATGTTTGGGTAAGGCAATGGGAGTTTGCAAGTGCTCTGAGTGCCACCTGGCCCTCTGCACCTCGCTTGTCCCTTGGCATCCTGCTCCTGCCATAGGTGCCAAGTTCCTCTTGGTGAATAACCCTGCAAGCCCCTCTTCCATTGTGGCTTTTGGGGTTTTATTTTTACTCCTTTTTATTTGCTTCCCACCACTGCCAAAACAAGCAGCCCATATGGGCCGGGGCTGGGTGGGTTTTTTTGGCTGTTTCCATAGGGATTTGATGCTGGAGCTGCTGGTGCCGGCTCCCCAGGGGGGATTCTTTTCCTCTGATCCCTGTAACCAGAGCCTGGTCCCGGCATCTCCCAGCCAAGGTCACCGGGGAGACCGCAGGCAGCGTTGGGCCATCTGTTAAATAATGTATGTAATAAACTCCTGCCCCGTGGCCAGCTTAATCCTTAAATCCTCCTTCAAAATATCATCTCCCAGGGATGCACAGCTGGGGGATCCCCAGCTCAGCTCTTGGGAACATCTTCCCCCTCACACCCCATCCTGCACCCCGCTTTCCTCATCCCTCCATCCCGCATCCTCCCTGTACGTGAGCTCGCTGCACACCGGGCTCTCCTGCTCCATTATTTATGTGTCATGCATGAAAGATGCATATAAAAGAGCAGTTTATAACGCACCGGAATCTCCTCTTCTTTCACCCTCCCTTCCCCCTCAGGCTTTCTCTGGTTAAGCCTTGGCTGCTCCTGGGTGTCAAGGTGGCTTTTTGGGGCTCCCTGTGGCCATGCATGGACCCCGTCCCTGGAGCATGTGGGTTTCAGTGCTCAGAGGTGTGTTTGATGCATGGTGACTGTGCAATTGGGTCTGATAGACCCAGAGATGAGGTTTTCATGCAAAATAGAGCCTTTTTGGTAAATTTAATTAACCAATGCCTGCATCCAGCCCATGGTTGTGTCTTACGAGCTGGCCTCTGCAGATGCAGGATGCTCTGGTCCTCCATGGGCTTCGTTTCCTCTTCCCAAAGCCCTGGGTTTGCACTTGGATGCTGTCTGGAGCAAAACCCATCAGATTTGGGGAGGGGGAAATATCCCTCCATGGCCTAACTCATGCTTTGCAGGGGCATTGGGTCACAATCCCTGGAGCCAAAGGGTTGGTGGTGGCCACTGAGTCCAAGCCGCACTGAACCCACTGAGGGGGGGGAATGAAAACAATTAGGGATTCATAATATATTATTGTAGTTTTATATCTATATATAGTTATTTCCTTTGGATAACCCCCATACCCAGGACCCATTTCCCCCGACATGGTTGTGTTTTCACCCCCTTAGTGCACAAGTTTGCTCATGCAGGTCGCACAGGCAGAGCCATAACAGCTCTTATGAGCCCAGGCAGTGACTACGAGTGGTGTTCGAATGGGACCAGCTGGGATTTGGGTTTTGGTGAGAAGGGAGGGGGACAGACAGGCAATCCTGGGATGAAAATCCCCATCTCCCACAGCTTTCTCAGTAGTGAAGGGGACGATGCCTTCCTGCGTCCCCAGCATCCCCTTTTGGGACCTCGTATTGAATTTCCCCCTGAATCTGAGCCCCCGAGGCATTCCCTCATCAAACAAACTAAAGAATCCCATAGGTAAATATTAATTATAACTAATTATTAGGGGCACAGCATGACCCTGATCCCGAGGGGCCCGAGCTGGAGCTTTCCTTCATTATTTGCTGTGTTATTTGGGTGTCGGGGGCCCGCGGCGCTGGGTGGGAAATCACGGCAGAGCCACAGGGATTATTATTATTATTAATATTATATATATATATGTATTTTTACCATTTTTGTTTCATTTTCCTCTTTATTTGGACATCGCAGAAATAGCCCTGTGGAGTGAAGTGCAACATACACAATATCTCAGAGAAGGAGGAAAGAAAACCTTGCCCGGAGGTCGGTCACTCAGCCGCAAACAGAAACAAGGAACAAGCCCTCGCCAAGAGGCGCTTTTTTTTTTTTTGTTGTTTTTTTACCTCTTTTTTAAATGCACATCATGCAAAATAGTTCAAAAGAAAGATTAGAAAAGAGAAGTCAAAGAAAAACCCCACGAGAGATTCGCCCAAGCCCTCGAAAGAGCAGAAAACCCCGAGTGCTGCTCGACCCGGGGAGGGAATCGCTGCCCTCCGGCATCTCCAAGTGTTTGGCACTCTTGTGATTACATCAGGTTAGTTTATCTAGATTATCATTTGAATACAGTCTATTAAAGAAACGGCCACAACAGAAGGAAAATAAACCCCAAACCAAACAAGTCACCACACTACAGACTGCAGGGTCGTTAGAAAAGCCGAGCACCCCCCCACCCCCCTGTACATATAAAATCTGTCCCTTTGCTCACAGCAACCAAGAAATACAAGCTTTAAAAAATAGCCAGCGCTTCTTCCTCTAGGCCCTTCCTTTATAAAAGTTTGGGGGTTTCCCCCTCGAGAACCTTAAAACGTGACTAAAATGAAAGAGATATTTATATATTTTATATAGTTTTCCAACATCCAAAGACATCAACATAAAAAACAAACCAACCTCGGAAGGAAAGGGGGAGCGTGGTACATCCAAGTGCACGGATTCATTTTTGCAAGGTTAAATAATGTAAACAAGGTGCCCGCTGGGAATGCCCCTGGAAAGGGGGGAGACCCTTCTGCCCCTTCCATCTTTTACCCCCCCCCCTTTTTCCCTTTTCCCCCCCCCGCCCCGATCTCGCTTGGCGCAGGGTTCATCAGACCCAGAGGAGGAATCGCGAGTGATTGCGAGCCGCGGTGTCGCTGCCTCCGTTCATCCCTTGTGCCGCAGGTTGGGATACTGGGATACGGGATTGGGGGGGGGGGGGGTATTTTCCGCGATTCTCTCGTTTTCCAGTGCTTTATCCGTAGTTTGGTGGCCGTGGCTGGGCAGGGCTCCTGGAGGGCAGAGGCTGCGCTGCTGTGCGACGGGGACGGCTCTCCGAGTGCTCGCTCAGCATACGGGCGCTGCGGTCTTGCCGGGGGGGTTGGTGGTGGTTATTTTCTGCCCATAACCTGTGCCATCGTAAACCGAACCCCCCGCCCCCCGCTCCCAGGGTGTCCCCGGGGAGGATTTAAACATCAGGAGGGGCTTTTTCCGAGAGGTTCTGTAGCACATCATCGATTCGATCGTCTTCAATAACCACTAGAAAGCAGAAGAAAACCCCAGCGTAACCGTGGTGAATGCTCTGCTCCCCAAGCCCAAGGTCACCCCGCGGTGGTGGGCACCCTGGGGTGGGTTTTGGGGGGTCGGTTCCATATCCCTGGTGTGATGGGTGGCAGAGCCAGCACAAAGCCTGATGTTTTGGGGGGGTACCTGGTGTGCTGTCCTGTCCCCAGGGAGGGTACCCGGTACCCAGCACAGTGCCTGGTGCCCTTCCTACACCCCGGGGATGGTCCCCAGGGCATGGTGGCTTGTCCCTGAGAAAGGTCCCTTTACCCCTATGCCCTGGGGATTGTCCCCGGGACACGATGCTCTGTCCCCTGGGAAGACCCCTGCTGCCCTACAGCCCGGGACACTCTTCCATGTCCTTAGGAAGGTCCTTGATGCCCGACACCCCGGGGAAGATCCCTGGGGCACTGTGCCTGACACCTCGCAGCGACCCCGCTGCATCGTGCCTGTCCCTGGGGACAGTCCCCGGTGTCCTGTATTCCTGCGGAAGGTCCCTGGGACGCGGTGCCCCGCACCCCATAGGCACCCGGCGCACACGGTACCATCCCCAGGGATGCTCCCCGCTCCCCTGCATCCCTGGCAGGTCCCGAGGACGCGATGCCCGGTACCCCGCGGGGTGCTCCCCATCCCCGGGGACGCTCCATCCCCCGTGCCCGCCGCCGCCCGTCCCCGCCGCACCCACCTCTCTTGCTGCGGCCGATCTGCCCCAGCTTGGGGGGCCGCTTGCCCTGCCCGCCGGCGAGGAGCCCGTCGGGGCCGCGGAGCCGAACGGGGAACGGCAGCTGCCCCACGGCCGCGTCCCCCGCCAGCTGCCCCTCGCCGTAGGGCGGCCCCTCCGACATAGGAGCGGCGGGGGGGGGGCCGCCGCCGCCGCCGCCCCCCGACAGCCTCCCGGGGCGCGGGGCCCGCGGGCCCGGGGCAGCGGCGCAGCGGGGCGCGGGGCGGCCGCCCCGTCACATCCCGGCCGGGCCCGGCGCTGCTGGCGGCTCCGCGGCTGCGGCGGCGGCTCCGGCGGCGGCAGCGATAGAGGAGCGGGGGGCGGGACCGGGCGGGACGGGGCGGGAGAGGTTCGGCCCCCGGGACCGGCCCCGGCACCGCCCTCGGTGGGCGACCCCCCGGGGATCCCCCGGGGCTGCCCCATCGGAGCGTCCCGCAGAGTCCCGGGAGCCCGGAGCTGCCCCAGAGCATGGCCAAGGAGCCCGGAGCTGCCCTAGAGCATCCCCAGGGAGCCCGGAGCTGCCCCAGAGCATCCCTATGGAGTCCGGAGTTGCCCCACAGCATCCCCAGGGAGCCCGGAGCTGCCCCAGAGCATGGCCAAGGAGCCCGGAGCTGCCCTAGAGCATCCCTAGGGAGCCCAGAGCTGCCCCACAGCATCCCTAGGGAGCCCGGAGCTGCTCTAGAGCATCCCTAGGGAGCCCGGAGCTGCCCCAGATCATGCCCAAGGAGCCCGGAGCTGCCCCACAGTGTCCTTGTGGAGCCTTGAGCTGCCCTACAGCATCCCTGAGGAGCCAGAAGCTGCCCCACAGCTCCGTCTGGGGAACTCAGCACCTGTCCCCAGGGAGTGTGGGCTCAGCCCCACATCTGCCCACCAGAAATGAGCCATTGTGGGGCCTCTGGCACTCCGGGGGGGGGCTGCAATGCACAGAGTCAGTCAGGGCTGTGGGTCCCCAGGACGTGGCCCTGCACAAGCTGCTCCTGGGGGATTGCCAAAGGGCTTTGGGGTGGCTGAGAACTTTCCAATGGACTTTTTCCTAGCAGTGCTGCCACAGCAGAGCAGCTCATTGTGGTCATTGCCCAGCAAAGGGCCAGTCTGGGGAAGACCAGGGTTATAGTTCTATACAGCCCCTAGATATATGGGGGGGGCGGGGGGGAGGGTTCTGGCATCCGTGGTGCATCCTCTGCAAAGCTGAGCTGTGGGCACAGTGTGGAAGGCAGCAAAAAGCCCATTTCCACAGGCTGGGTTATAACAGCTCTGCTTGTGGATTACTCCGGAATCCATGGGCTCGAAAGGGCCGTAAGATCATCCAGTTCCAGCAGCCTGCACCAGGCAGGGACACCACAATATAACAAAGACTGGGCTGTGCTTTCAATATAGGACTTGCAAGCGGCTCGGACTGAAGCTGAGCAGGACCCGGTCAGGATGGGGGGTCCCATGGCCAGGGGCTGGGATGTGCTGCTCCCGTATCCAAACCCTGCGTTTCCCAAGCCCTCAGCTCCAGGAGCCCCGCTCCCGCACACCCCCGAGCTCTCAGCTCCTTACATAAGGTTGCGTCTCCGCCCGAGCTATCACGGGGGAAAGATGGAAACAGGAGGAGAAGGGGATGGGGAAAGCACAGCCCCCCCACAAGGGTATTTTTAGGCTCTGTGTGACAGTGACAGCTCTGATCCCCCAGCAAGGCGCAGAGGCCGCATCCTGCCCCGCTCCGCCAAGGGGTGCATGTCCATGGGTCCCTCACGCTGCTCCTGAGGAGGGGATGAGGCCGTTTGGGGTGCTTGGTCCCCAGGAACCACAGGGAGAAGAGGGAGGGCTCGGCCATCTGGATCCTGGCTTTTCCCACTGGGATTCTGGGTTTCTGGCACGCAGGCAGTGTGCAGGCAGGCAGCCACCGCCATCTACAGCTGATGTTCCATGTGCTCTTCCCCCAGATCCTGGGGGTTTTGGATGTTCCTACTCCAGGCCCCTAAAACAGGGGCTGCCCACTTGGTGCTTAATCTAAACCTCAGTGCCCCCACAGCAAGCACGAACTGGAGTGGCACATTGGGTTTGTTAACCCTGGTGGGTGCTGGCACTGCATGTGATCTGTGGGAAAATGAGGGATTTGGGAGTTCTCCTTTTGTGGATTCAGTGCTGCAAATGAGGGGCCAGTGGGGTCAGATTCGGTGGGGGGGGAACAGGATCCCAACCCCAACCTTGATCACAGCTTGGGGTGACCTCCCCTGCTCCAGGGCTCATCAGCACAGCCTCACCCCTGTAACAATCTGAGACAAACACGCTTTTGAGCCCATTTTATTACTTTACGCCCTATTTGGCTATCCCAGCTCAAGCCACAGTGTGTTTCCGCCCCATTCTCGTGTCCTGGTGCAATACAGTCCCAAACCCACATTGCAGATGATGGCAGAATCACTTGTGTTCACACACAAACCCACTCCCTGGGTGCCAGTGTGGCTGGAATTCTGCAGCCTCTGAGAATCCTCAATATGCTTTATTTCCCCCCACTATGTTTTATAATCCATGTAACGGCCTGCAGGTTTATGAAGCAAACCCTTGGAGTCCAACTCCTAACAGAAGAGCTTCACTGTGTCTCCCAGCCAAGCACCAAGCCCGTTGTGAGGACTCACCTCTGGAGCACGATGTGAACCCCCATCAGCTGCACATCACCTTTAAGCCCCAGCTCTGGCCCCCAAGTTGAAGCACCCGCTCATTCAAGCTCCCTCCCCTTCCCTAGACCCAAGCAGTGAGGTGAGGACACCCCTTTGTGAGAGGAGAAACGCTCCCCCCTGCAGGCACTGACTTTAACTGTTGTAGAGAGGAACCACCCTGGCGATGCCCTGCCGGCAGATGGGGCACCGCCGGGGCTCAGGCAGCGCCCGGTAGCACTCACTGCAGGAGCACACGTGCCCACACTCCAGGAACACGCAGGATTTGGTGTTGCTCAAGCAGATGACACAGGCGTTTTTGAGTGTCTCTCCCCCCTCCACGTTCATTTCCCTCATGAGGCGCTCCTGGGCCTGCCGGAACTCATCCTGCATCTGCCTGAGGTGCTGCCGCTCGCGGTGGTGCTGGTACTGCTTCCGCAGGATGACAAAGAGGATGGCACATGTAGCAAAGCCAAAAACCACAGTCAGGATTTTCCAGAACCGGACGCTGGATTCGTGCCTGTGGAGCAAGGAGTCGAAGTCCATGGCGCTCAGGTAGTAGGGCATGCCCTGCTTCGGGGGCTGCAGCTTGATGGTGGCGTTATCCAGGACCAGCTCGCCCACCCCGGTCAGCGCCGTGCCCACCTTCAGCATCTGCTCCGTCTCCTGGATGCCCTTGGGGCGCTCCCCGCTGATGTAGTGGCCAATGACATCCGTGAAGGACTGGACAGAGGGGTGGAATTTCTCATACACCGTCTCCAGGCTGAGCTCGGCTGCATCCAGAGGCTTCATCACCCTCACGGTGATGCTGGCGGCGCCTTCCTCTGCAGGGACCAGGTCAAAGGGAGTTGTGTTGGTTCTCTGGTGGATGATCTTCTCATAGTCATTCCTGGAGAAGGGGATGAAGCAAAGGTGAGGGCTAGGGTGTCCCCAAAGGCCTGTTTTGGGGATTAACAGACATGATGATGATCATCAGGGGCTGGAGCACCTCCCGTATGAAGTCAGGCTGAGAACATTGGGGCTGTTCAGCCTGGAGAAGAGGAGCTGCGTGGAGACCTCAGAGCAGCTTCCAGTGTCTGAAGGGGGTTGCGAGGATGATGGGGAGGGACTCTTCATCAGGGACTGGAGTGACAGGACAAGGGGTGATGGGTTCAAACTGAAACAGGGGAAGGTCAGGTTGGAGATAAGGCAGAAGCTCTTCCCTGTGAGGGTGCTGAGGCGCTGGCACAGGGTGCCCAGAGAGGCTGTGGCTGCCCCATCCCTGGCAGTGCTCAAGGCCAGGTTGGACACAGGGGCTTGGAGCAAGCTGCTCCAGTGGAAGGGGTCCCTGCCCATGGCAGGGGTTGGAACTGGACGAACTCTAAGGTCCCTTTCAACACAAACCAGGCTGGGATTCTATGATTCTATGTTAGAAACTATGGCAGTGCCTGGGAATGGTCACGTAGTACTTAGGGCTGCTGTGGGTTCAGGTCTGAAGCACCTCCATCAGTCTGCCCATGTGTGATGGTATTTCGGTGTGTCAGGCCCTCTGGGGCACTTTGGCTGCTGTGAGAGCTGGAGGTTTGTGTGCCCTGGGCACATACCAGAGGTGTGTCGTTCGGTTCCACACCATCTTGTGCTCTTGCAGCGTCAGCCGCTGCACGACGCCCTTGCAGTTCTCCACAAACTGGCTGCTCAGGGTCTCCTTCACGGACTGCACCACCCCTGAAAGAGAAACACAACGTGTGTGTGAGCTGCTCCCCAGCCGCACACGGGTACGGGCAGGATCTCAACACCATGGGGGCACAAGAGCCAGGAGCCTGTGGAATGTGCAGTTCAGAGCCAGTGCCCACCTGACAGGGTGAATACAGCCTGGGCTGGAAAGGGCCTCAAAGCTCATGCAGCTCCAAGCCCCTGCCATGGGCAGGGACACCTTCCACTAGCGGGAGAGAAAAGGAGAGGATGTGCCCCTAACCCCCCTCCCCGTATAGGTATATACATACACACACACATATATATATATACACACATATATAACCTGTGTAGCTGCATGCCGCAGGCCCTGCCCCTACCTTCGATGACCGCGTAGGGCACGCAGCGCCCCGGCGCTTCCAACAGCACCGCCCGTAGGTCCCCGTCCAGCCGGACCCTCCTGGCGCCCTGCGGGGTGGGAAACGGAGCCCGCAGCTCAGGCGGTAGGACCAGGCCGCGGCTTCGGCGACGGGACCAGGCCGCGGCTCCGGGACCAGGCCGCGGCTCCGGCGACGGGACCAGGCCGCGGCTCCTGCCCGGGCCCATGCGCTCCCCCTGGGACCCCCGTTACCCACCTCGAGGCCGCGGGCGACGCGGGCCCTGTGCCGGTACACGGAGCAGACGAGGGCGGTGAGCGCGGTGCTGGCAGCCAGCAGCGCGGCCTGCGCCAGCGAGGGCCGCCCGCCGCCCTCCATGGCCGCTGCTGTTACCGCGGCAACCGGCCGCGAGTGATGACGCACTCAGCGGCGCTCTGGCCCCTGACTCCGCCACCATAGAGACGGTGGGTCCTCCACGGCGGGCGGGGGGGCTCAGCTGGGGATGGAGTCGCAAAGACCCCTCCGAAAAGGGCCTTGTTTTGGCCACCCAAACCCAGCCCCACAGCCCCATGGGGCCTGGAGGGGTCTGCCCGTATCCCGGCCCCCCTATGGAGGGTAAATCCAGCTCATGGGGGGAGCAGGACAGATCCCCCCCGAGTGTTGGAGGGGGGAACAAGCTCCATAAGCTCCAGCCCCACAAGCTCTGGATCCCATCAGGATCTTGGTACGGGGCCCAAATCCTAACACCCCGCCATGGCGCTGGGGGAGAACCCCAGCGTGTCCTGCCCCCCTTCATCCCAAAGAGCCTGGGGGGGCGACCCCAAATCCCACCCCTGCAAATCCTGGGGGGTGTCAGGCCAAAGCCTCCTCCACCCCCCGATGGGTCCAAACACCAGCCCCATAGCACCTTGCGGAGCACCGTGGTGTGGGGCAGCAGGCCCCCACCATAGCCCCAAAGTCCCCCCCATGTTGGAGCCATGGCTGGGCATGGGATCTATAGGGAAGCAGCCCCCAGACCCATTTCAAAGGCTCCGTCTTGCACAGCCCATGCAGGATCCTTGTCAGCCCTGTGCTGGGGACACACACACACACAGAGACCCTGCTCCCCCCCATCTCCCATTCCCTTTGCTATTGCTTATTCTGGAAAAGCAGCAAAACAGGAGGAAAAAGCAGGGATTTGGGGTAAATGAGCTGATTTTCAGGCCCTGGTGCTGCTTTTGGGGTGGGAGGTGGGGGCTGTGGGCAAACCCCCCTCTGCAGTGGGGGTAAAAGGGGCCGAAACCCCCTCGCAGCCTTGTGCCACCCCCAGCTCTGTATAGATCTATAGATACATATATATAACAGCAAGTTGCCATGGCTACGGCGAGAGCTCTGCCAGCCTCGGTGCTGCAGGGAGGGTGCAGAGAGCGCTGGGTGCCCCCAGCCTGCTTTGGCTCGCCTTTGGAGGGGTAAATTCGGTTTAACCCCCCATTTTCCTCGGTGCTGAGCTTAACTCTTCCTCTCCCGTGGTGCAGGTGACACACAGGCGCTGCTACACCGCAGAAAACACACGCTGGTTTATTATGGCCGCTGTGGAGGAGGCACGAGAGCAGGTTTGTGTGTGGGAATGCGGGGGTGCATCACACACACACCCCCCCCAAAGGGCTCTGCCTTGCGAATGAAGCCGCTGTCTTGTCCGCATCCATCCCCAGAGGGGGTCCAGGTTCAGCCGGTCCCCGCCATGGGGTGCGGGTGGCTCAGCACGCCATGGAGGCTGCAGCCCCGCATCTCCCTGGCCAGGCGCAGCACGGCCGCACGCTCAGCGCCGTCCCCCCGCGGTGCCCCGCTGCCGAAGGCCTCATCCTCCTCCTCCTCCAGGATGGAGCTGAGGCGCGGGGCGCAGCGGGTGCGCTCGGCCGGCGGGCGGTAGGGACACTTGGCGTTGAGCAACCGGCGCAGGGGCACCAAGGGCACGATGGCATCGCCCAGGAGCTGCTGCTGGACGTGGCGGAAGTCGTTCTGCCTCTTGAGCCGCTTGAACTCGTTGAAGGCGGACGAGGAGGTCTGGTAGAGGAGCAGGGCCATGGCGCGTGCCTTGTCGGCCTTGGACACGAGGACTGCGTGGCACCGCAGCACCACCGCCTTGTTCTTCACTTGGTGCCTGTAGACCCAAGCGAACACCTTGGGGTGCCGGCGGTCGGCGGCGCAGTAGGTGATGCGGTGCAGGAGGTACGCGTGGCCTGGCCGCCGGGCCCCCTTCTCGCACGGGCTCATGCGGATGCCTTGAGGTCCCAATGTCAGCTTCATCTTCACCCCGCCGGCTCCCGCGTCGCTCTTCGCCCAGATCTTGCCCACCGCCTCCTCCGTGCAGCCCTCGCCCTTGGCGTGCAGGGTGACGGCGTTGCCCAGGTACCTCACCGTGTACGTCGGGTCCTCTTTGTTCAGCTCCACTTTCTGCCGCTTGCCACGGAAGACGCTGCCCAGTCGCTCCAGCGGGCATTCGGGCAGGAGGTCCGGGCAGGAGCGCAGGAACCCGGCCAGCAGCGCAGCGTAGCTCAGCCCCGGCCCCAGGCTCTTGCTCTTGCACTTACGTTCGTTCTCCACCAGCACAAACTTGCTCCGGCGCCAGGGCAGCATCTCCGCTGTGCCGAGGGGCTCTCCACGCTCCTCTAATCCCGGCCGCAGCAGCCCCCACCGACCCGCTTGCAAGCAGAGAGGGTCCCCCCGCAACCCCCCCGCACCCCAAATCTGTTTTCTGGGGGGTTCTCCCAGCACCCCCCCACCCAGGGGGGTGGGTGTGTGTGTGTGAAGCCCCTACCCCAGCGCCGTGGGATGTGGATGCCGTTATCCCGGTGCCGTCTGCTCAGCGGAGGATGCGGAGATGCTGCTTCCTGCGCCTGCTGCTGGGATCGGCGGCTGCGGGGATGCAGCTCTCCGAGGGCTGCTCCACCTCCCCGCGTCGCCCCGGCCCCGAGGATGCGGGGAAACGCCGGGAAACGTCGGCAAACGTCCCCCTCCTCCCAGTGCGCGCCGCCGGACGCGCGCCCGCTCCGTGCTCGGGTAAGGAGATGCTGGGAAATAACCGCAATCCTCCCGGCACCCATGCAGCAGCCGGACCCCAGCGCCAGCTCCAGGGGGAGATCAGGGCAGGATGCAGGGGGTGATGTTGGGGAGAGTTGGATGTCAGCTTCTGGCCCTGGTACGAGGAAAGGGGGGGGTTCTCCCCAGACCTGAGCATTGCACAAGGGGTTTGCAGATCCTGAAGGTTTGCTGGCGTTTTTTCCTCCAGAAACCTCATTTTTTACCCCCATTATACCCAAGCCAGCGAGACCTCCTCGCTGCTCCTCTTGGACCGAGCTCTTGGCTTTTCACTTGTTGCTTTTCACTCCATTTGAGGCCTTGGGACAGTTTTTCTCTGGAGAACATGAAATGTTGCCCCACAGCACAGCCTAGGGGGGATTTTGGGGGAGCTGTGTGGTGGTACCTGTGAGATTTTAACCCTACTGTGGAGCCTGGGGCTGTTCAGGGCTCAGCTCTTAGCTCAAACACTGTTTTCCACCTATGGGGCTTCTTGTGGATGCAGCAGGGGGACCCCTGGGCTTGGAGACACACAAAGAACCCTTGGGATTGACACATGGGGAGGAGAAAGGGGTAAAACAACAGGTTTAGTCCAGTTTAGGCTAGGTTTTCTTTCCCTCCCCGGTTTTTGGGGCATCACACCACATGATGGGGCACAAGAGCATCTGTGGCCCATTTCAGTTGGGAAAACAACCAGGATTTGCACTTGGAAAGCTGAAACTAAAGCTCTGTGCTGATTCAGGGCTGCCAAATCCTCTTCTAGCTGCCTGTTGCCTAACCTTGCAAGTAGCTAACTGTTGTCATTAGGTTTCAGGGTGAACAGTGTGCAGAAGGTGGGTTGTACCATCATCTCATGGGACAATACTGATCTCAGTGTCCCGGATTTGGTTTCTTGGGGTTCCTGTGTCCTCTCACTGTCCCACACTCTATTCTCAGCTCAAGGCATTTGTACCACACCGGAGACTGCTGCCAGTTCAGTTTCATGTTCCAGCCTGTCGTGGCTTGTCAGTAGCAACCCAGCACCAAGATTTGCTCCCAAAACCGGCAGGGAAGGTCAAAATCCTCCCCAGATCCAGCAAACTGAACAAAACCCGCAGTAATGAATCAGTGAGGGCTGGAATACCCATTTGTGCAGCCAGAAAATGGGGCAAGAAGCTCCTCCAGCAAGGGAGAGGAAGAGATATCTTTAATTAAAGAGCAATTTGCTGATCAGCCCAGCATCCTGGGAGTGCTTTAACCCATGGGGGCTGATTCCCATCGAAGCACCAGCAGAACTGGGGTTGAGGGTATCCCAAAATGGGTTTTGTCAGCTCTACCTTCAGCCAGCTTTCCCTGCTGCCTGGCAGTGGTAGTTAAAAGAAGTGGGAATATGTGGTGTGTATATATATGTATATATAATTCCTTCTGGTTTCAATCAAATTAATGTATTTCTTTTGATCTCACCGATCAGGACCTGTTGTTTCTTCTCCCTCAGGGGTGATTTAATGACATTTTCACTGTGAAGCAGCACAACCAGTTTTCAACTGGGAATGAAAGGAAAACAACGCATTGAGGCAGCAGCAGTGGGAAAACGCTCCTCTGGGATGGAGAAAGGAGGAGGTACAAACGGGACAAAGTGGAAAGCATGAGGCAGCAGATGGGGCGGGGACAGGGGACACCCTGAGCGTGATGCTCGGGGGGGTCAGGGCTGTCCCTAGGGATGCTCCCCATGGTTCCCTGCGGGGCGTTATCCCGGCAGTGCTGCCCAACCTATTTTCCAGGCGAGGAAATATTTAACCACGGCGTCAGCGGGCAGGGCAGGCAGGGGCAGGAATGGAGGGTGACAGGAAGCACCCAGCCCCTGCTGCTCCCCCGACAGAGCGCCTCCAGCTCCTGCTGCGCCGCAGCCGGGAGGCCAAGAACTGCGCCTACTGCCCCTACAGCCGGTTCCCGGTGGGCGCCGCGCTTCTCACAGCCAGCGGGGAGATCTTCTCCGGTAAGCTGAGGCTTGTGATCCCCCTCCTTGTGTTTTGGGGTCCCTTTGGCCGTGCATGGGGTGTAGAGGGGTTGCTGGGACGTGCTGCACCTCCCCGAGTCGCCTCTTTGGCAGTCGCCATCCCAGAGTGAGCCAAAGATTGCAGTGCATGGGAAAAGAGGGGAATGTGTTGGGAACAGCCCAGGATGGGGTGTTGCACACTAAAAATGGTGGGGGGTTTTTTGCACATTCACTAATAAATAGCTCACTTGGAGCGTTTTGGGGTGGCTGAGTGGGTGCTGGGGGCTTCCCCACAGGGTGCAACGTGGAGAACGCCTGCTGCAGCCTCGGGGTGTGTGCTGAGCGCACTGCCATCCAGAAAGCCATCTCCGAGGGGCACACCAGCTTCAGGGCCATGGCCATTGCCAGGTAAGGGCACAGCGAGGGAGGGGAATGGGGGGGGGGAGCGGGAAAACCTTCCATGGACCCAAGGGGCAGCTTCTGCTGCAGCGGCCCCAGTGTTCTGCTGGGGGAATATAGGTTTCTGCATGGTTATTTTGGAGGAAATGAGGGCAAATGTGCTGTAGCAGGAAGGTCTTCTGCAGGTGTTCCTCCCCTACCTGTGATCATAAGACTGAGCTCTGTGCCATTCTCCTTTGGCAGTGACATGGGGGACACCTTCATCGTACCCTGTGGTGCCTGCAGACAAGTGATGAGAGAGGTGACAGCGCACGCGGGGGTCCCGTGTCTCATCCCCTGACACCAGGAATCTCCCCCTAAACCCCCCTGAGGTGCAAACATGGGGGTTGCAACCCCCTGTCCCCAGCCCCAGGCTCCTGAAACTGCACATTCCTATGGGAAAAGGGTTTTCCTCCCTGTCCCTTGGGAGCGGGTGCCCAGGGTAATCCATTAACTCACCCTTCCCAGGGGGTTTATTGCTGCTGGGAGATCCACGTGCAGAGGCTGTCTCTGGAGCTGTTGCCATGACTTGGGCAAGCCTGAAAATGAGGGGTTTCCTGCAAAAGCCAAGCTCCAAGGGGAGCCCATCCCACTCTCACCTCACTGCTCCCCGCGGACACCCCGGCCCCTGCAGCCCATTTTGGGATGGTTAATATTTAATGGGTGGCAGGGCTCAGAGTGAAGACCAGATTCCGCAGGTCTGAAGGCATCAGGGCTCACCCTGAGGGGGCAGACCCACACACTGTGAGCCCAAAATACCCCCTGCGGGAGGTGATGCTGAAAAGCTGACCCAAACCACATGCAATAGAGGGAGATGCTCCCTGTGGAGGTGGCCACAAAGGGCTCTCTAGAGCAAGCTGCTCTAGTGGAAGGTGTTCCTGCCCATGGCAGGGGGTGGTACTGGATGAGCTTTAAGGTCCCTTCCAACCCATTCTATGATTCTATGGTTGTCTGGGTAATTAGAAGAAGAAATGGAGGTTTTGCATAGGCACTTCTCCCCTCTCTACCCCTCCAGTTCGGCACAGACTGGGACGTCTACCTGACCAAAGCAGACGGCAGCTACATCGTCAAGAGGCTGGAGGAGCTGCTGCCGCTCTCCTTCGGCCCTGAGGACCTGAAGAAGGTGTGAGCAGCATGGCTGCAGCAGCCGTGGCTCTTTGGCAGCAGGGGAGCATGGTTTTCCCCCAGTTGCCTGGTGTGTAAGCAGCTTTCTGGGACAATGTGATGGGAAATACATTTATAGTGTTAAATTCACCATTCCTCTCGTGATCACCTGATTCAGCACTGAACAAGTGAAATCAAACTGTAGAAATGCCCTGTTATTAGGAAAGGAAAGTGTGCAGGTACTGCTGCAGGCGAGGGGGTAGCTCACAGACAGAGGGTTTGATGCACAGCTCAGGCTTGGGCTTGTTGGTACAGAAACCACTCCTAAACTGTGCAAAGTCATTGTAGTGGGAAAATGCTGGATATTTCAGCTCCAAAGGAGAAGGGAAAGCAAAAAGGAAAAGCTCCATCCACCCTGGCAGTTATTAATAAGCCAGTTCAGATTAGGTGCCATGCTGGAAGTGGTTATCACACCGAGCGTGTCCTTTGCTCGCTTCTCTCCAGCTTGTTTTCTTTGCCTTTATTCAGTTTGTGGGAATGAAGAAGGAAAGGAGGTGTTGAGGGCTTTGGGAGGGTTTTAAATCTCCACAATAATGCTGCTTTCTGATTGTACTATTAATTGAATCATGCACAGTGACAAATGAATGTGTTACAGCTCCCACCCAGCACGCTGCCTATGCCCAAGTGAAATAAAGACAGTCATGGTTTACCTCCTGTGGTTGCAGCCAATGGTGAAGCACAGGGCAGGGGAAACGGGTGCCTGAGCAGAGCAGGAGGGTGCTGGTGCCGCAGGTAGGACATGGCCAGGACACTCCATGGCCCAGTGCGGCCAGGGCAATGCTGCCCACACAGCCAAGGCCCTCCTGCCCTCCCCTGCATGGGCCATGCCCAGCTCTGACCTGGGAGATGAGGGTGCTGAGGCGCTGGCACAGGGTGCCCAGAGAAGCTGTGGCTGCCCCATCCCTGGCAGTGCTCAAGGCCAGGTTGGACACAGGGGCTTGGAGCAAGCTGCTCCAGTGGAAGGGGTCCCTGCCTGTGGCAGGGGTTGGAGCTGGGTGAGCTTTAAGCTCCCTTCCAACCCAAACCCCTGTGATTCTGTGTGCCCGGCCTTGCACCGGGCTCTGCCCAGGGCAGGGCTCTGCTCCGTGGTGTCCCATGCACCGGGCTGTGCCCCTGCTGTGCACAAGCTGTGCCTGGGGCAGTGCTGTGCTCCTTGCCCTGCCGAGCACCGGCTGTGCCAAGCACAAGGCACACCCAGCTTGCCCTGGATGCACCGGGCAGTGCCTTGGCTGCGCTTGGCTCCACGCTCTGCTGGGCCCAGGCTGTGCCCAGGACAGTGCAAGGTGGTGCCCTGCTCTGTGCCCCTCTCCATGCCTTGCTCCATCCTGCTCTATCCTGCTCCATCCTGCTCCATGCCTCATCCATTCTGCTCCATGCCCCATCCAACCTGCTCCATGCCTCATCCATCCTGCTCCATGCCCTGCTCCATCCTGCTCCATGCCCCATCCAACCTGCTCCATGCCCTGCTCCATCCTGCTCCATGCCCTGCTCCATCCTGCTCCATCCTGCTCCATGCCCTGCTCCATCCTGCTCCATGCCCTGCTCCATCCTGCTCCATGCCCTGCTCCATATCCTGCTCCATGCCCCCTCCATTCTGCTCCATGCCCCGCTCCATCCTGCTCCATTCCCTGCTCCATCCTGCTCCATGCCTCATCCTTTCTGCTCCATGCCCCCTCCATTCTGCTCCATGCCCTGCTCCATCCTGCTCCATTCCCTGCTCCATTCCCTGCTCCATTCCCCGCTCCATCCTGCTCCATGCCCTGCTCCATTCTGCTCCATGCCCCATCCATCCTGCTCCATGCCTTGCTCCATGCCACTCCATGCCCTGCTCCGTCCTGCTCCGTGCCCTGCTTCATGCCCCCCTCCATGCCCTGCTCCATCCAGTTCCATGCCCCATCCATCCCACTCCATGCCCTGCTCCATTCCCTGCTCCATATCCCGCTCCATCCCACTCCATGCCCTGCTCCATCCTGCTCCATTCCCTGCTCCATCCTGCTCCATATCCTGCTCCATGCCCTGCTCCACCCTGCTCCATGCCCTGCTCCATTCCCTGCTCCATTCCCTGCTCCATTCCCTGCTCCATCCTGCTCCATTCCCGCTCCATCCTGCTCCATCCTGCTCCATTCCCTGCTCCATCCTGCTCCATTCCCTGCTCCATCCTGCTCCATCCTGCTCCATTCTGCTCCATTCCCTGCTCCATCCTGCTCCATTCCCTGCTCCATCCTGCTCCATTCCCTGCTCCATCCTGCTCCATTCTGCTCCATTCCCTGCTCCATCCTGCTCCATTCCCTGCTCCATCCTGCTCCATTCCCTGCTCCATGCCCCGCTCCATCCTGCTCCATCCTGCTCCATGCCCTGCTCTACGCCCAGCTCCATTCCGCCCCTCGCCCCGCCCCTGGCCCCGCCCCTCCCCGTCTCTCCCCGCCGCAGCCATGGCGGTTCGCCTTCTGGTCGCCCGGGCCCTGCGGCTGCTCCCCCGCTGCCGCCTGCGCTGCGCCCCGCGCCCGGACCCGCGCCCCGAGCCCCGCTCCGTTCCTTCCCCTTTCCCTTCCCCGTCCCCTTCCCCATGGCGGCCGTGGCTCTCCTGGCTCCCCGCCGCCCGCCGCCTGCTGCTGCCCGGCCCGGCCCGCGGGCTGGCGGCCTCGGCGCTGCGGGGCCGCGGCGGGGCCTGCCTGGCGCTGGCCATGGCGCTGGGGCTGGTGGAGCCGCGTCTGGAGGAGCAGCGGCGGGCGGAGGCGGCCTGCAGGCACATCCAGGTGCGGGAGCGGGGCTGCCCGGCGGGGCGGCACTGAGCGGGGCCCAGTGGGGGTCAGGGCTGTGGGGAGCCCCACAGACACCCCAATGGAGGGCAATGGGGGTCAGGGCTGTGGGGGGTCCCACAGACACCCCTCATGGAGGGCAATGGGGGTCAGTGCTGTGGGGAGCCCCACAGACACCCCTCATGGAGGGCAATGGGGGGCAGGGCTGTGGGGGGTCCCACAGACACCCCTCATGGAGGGCAATGGGGGGCAGTGCTGTGGGGAGCCCCACAGACACCCCTCATGGAGGGCAATGGGGGTCAGGGCTGTGGGGAGCCCCACAGACACCCCTCATGGAGGGCAATGGGGGGCAGGGCTGTGACGGGTCCCACAGACACCCCTCATGGAGGGCAATGGGGGTCAGGGCTGTGGGGGGTCCCACAGACACCCCTCATGGAGGGCAATGGGGGGCAGTGCTGTGGGGAGCCCCACAGACACCCCTCATGGAGGGCAATGGGGGTCAGGGCTGTGACGGGTCCCACAGACACCCCTCATGGAGGGCAATGGGGGTCAGGGCTGTGGGGGGTCCCACAGACACCCCTCATGGAGGGCAATGGGGGCAGGGCTGTGGGGAGCCCCACAGACACCCCTCATGGAGGGCAATGGGGGCAGGGCTGTGGGGCCCACAGACACCCCTCATGGAGGGCAATGGGGGTCAGGGCTGTGCGGGTCCCACAGACACCCCTCATGGAGGGCAATGGGGGTCAGGGCTGTGGGGGGTCCCACAGACACCCCTCATGGAGGGCAATGGGGGTCAGGGCTGTGGGGGGTCCCACAGACACCCCTCATGGAGGGCAATGGGGGTCAGGGCTGTGAGGGGTCCCACAGACACCCCTCATGGAGGGCAATGGGGGTCAGGGCTGTGGGGGGTCCCACAGACACCCCTCATGGAGGGCAATGGGGGGCAGGGCTGTGGGGGGTCCCACAGACACCCCTCATGGAGGGCAATGGGGGTCAGGGCTGTGGGGAGCCCCACAGACACCCCTCATGGAGGGCAATGGGGGTCAGGGCTGTGGGTGGTCCTACAGACACCCCTCATGGAGGGCAATGGGGGTCAGTGCTGTGAGGGGTCCCACAGACACCCCATAAAAGAGGGTACCTGGGAAACCTTGTCAGCAGCCCTAAAGGTGGTACTGGAGGATCCTCGCTGTGGGGACCCCCTTGCTCCCTGTCCCCCACAGAGGAGGGGCTCCTGTCCCTGGTGATGGATGTCTTGTGTCCCAGAGCCCGGTGCTGATCCCTCAGGTTTGTCCCCTCTTGCCTTGGCCGGCAGTGCTGGCAGGGCACCAGGACGGATGGTGCTGAGCAGATTCCATGGGTAAAAATAGAGCTTTGGTGCTGGGAGCCAGCGCTCGCTGCTGGCCAGGGACCAGCCCGTTCCTGCTGAGGATCTGCCTCTCCCTCGGGTTCCCTGGGTGCTTTCCCTCCCCTGCCCTTTGCTGTCTTCCCCTTCCACTGCCCCTCCTGGGGCCCATTCCTCAGCCAGCCCCTGCTGGTGACAGCTCTGGCACCACCAGCCCCACAGGGCTGTGACTGCTCTGTGCTCTCCTCTGCTTTGTTCCCTCCCATCTTCTTGTGCCCATCCCATCCCTGGCAGTGCTCAAGGCCAGGTTGGACACAGGGGCTTGGAGCAAGCTGCTCCAGTGGAAGGGGTCCCTGCCCGTGGCAGGGGTTGGAGCTGGAGGAGCTTTAAGGTCCCTTCCAACCCAACCCATTCCATGATTCCATGATGTAGTTAGACTTGCCTCTACCAAAGATATTTATATTCTAGATTAGCAGATGAATTCTCCTCCCCATTCCTCCTTTTCCTGTGCATCCTCAGCACCCTCGGAAAGGGCACCTTTGGTAAAGACTGGTTTAGGGGTTATTTGTTTCAGACAAAAAAAACCATGGTTGCTCATTACTTTCTCTCTGGTTACAGTGATTTGGAGCTCATGATTAGAGCCTGATAGCAGCTTTCCAGGTTGGTCCAACCCAACAGGGTCCAAGATGCTGCTTCACCAGCAGGACAGTTCTCCTTCCCTGGCAGTCCTTGAATAACCAAGTGGGGTTTTTATCATGTCTCCCTCCTTTCAGACCGTGTTTGTTGGGAAGAACAAGCCACAGAAAGATGCCCTGAGCTGCTTCCGCTGGCAGGGCTTCAAGCTGGAGGAGTATCTCATCGGCCAACCCATCGGGAAGGGCTGCAGTGCCGCGGTGTATGAAGCAGCTATGCCTTTCTCCCGCCGTGGTGAGGGCTGTGTGGAGAGCAGGCACCCTGCAGGGCATGGCTCAGCTTCACAGGCAGCAGAAGAGGAGCCCGTAGTGAAACAGCAACCGAAGGAGGCTTTTCCATTAGCTATCAAAATGATGTGGAACATTTCGGTAAGGAATCGGTCTTGTCTGTCACTGGGGAAGTCTGGAATGTTTAACACTGAAGTGTTGAAAGTGCTCATTATGTAGTGCACGATGAGCATGTCAAAACAAAGCTGTTGATAAGTGACACTAGAGACGTCCATTGTGGTGAGCAATCCCAGAGCAAGGTAATGAAGCATTCATCATTCCTCTGGGATCGGCACTGAGAGCTGCCGCTGGTGGAGTTGTTGGTTATGGAGGTGATGGGTTTGGGAGAAAGCTTTGCTGGAGCTGGCTGTAATGGCAAGGGGTAAGATGGGAAAGCCACTGCTGCCACTGCTTCAGGAATCCGTGTCCTTGTCATTGTCAGAGCAGAGAGAGGCTTTTCTTCTGCCACGTGCAGCTGAGTGAAGCTGAGGTCAGGGCATGGGGCAGTAACCTGCATGCTGGCTCCCTTGGCCATGAAGTGGGTGGATGAGATCTGGGCTCACGTTTCCCAGCTCGCGTGGCTCCTCAGTGTGGCTGTTCCCCATTTCACAAGCTCCATGTGGCTTTTCCCATGGGAGAGGTTTCATAGCACTTGATGTGACAATTCTAAGAGATTCTTCCAAAACACCACTGTTTGCAGTCCCTTGGGCTCCTGGCATTTAGCTGTGGGCTTTTCAGTCAGGTTTTGAAGCTGAAAGTGAGTGTTAGCATACAGCTAACAGCCAAGGGCGCATTTGAAGAGACAGCTGGACTTCTTCATGCAAGTAAGGCCTTGCCACATCCCTTGGTCAATGCTTTAAGCAGTTAGTTGCCTTCCCTGATTTCGAAGTAGAGCAGGAAGTCCCTTCAGTCTCATGTAACTGCAGATACAGCACCAGCATCAGGATTGTCTGCTTTCTGTTTCTGTTGAGGCTGGGTGGTTTTAGAGCTTAAACCAGTGTGGTGTGTAATTGCTGTTACAGGCTGGTTCCTCCAGCGAAGCCATCCTTGATGCTATGGGCCGAGAGCTTGTTCCAGCCACAGGGGTTGCCTTAGCCGGAGAGTACGGAGCCATCCCTGGCCGCAGGTACAGTCGCTATGGAAGAGGCAGGTGGTGACATGCTAGGTCATTTTGCAGCACATCTGGGGTGTTAAGATGGCCTGAGGTTCCTAGAATAGCTCCTGAAAGTAGATAAAACCAAAGCCTTGGGATTATGGTTGGGCTGATGATCTTAAAGGGCTTTTTCAATCTTGACAGCCCCTCAAACATCACTCAGGAATGGGACTGCCTCGGGGCTTTTCCTCTGGTGTGCCTGTCTCCAGCAGAGTTAGGAAACCACACACAGCAGTTCTGCTGTTCAGATAGTGATTTATCACAGCCCTCTTTACTCTGAGGAGCAGACTGTGGCACGGTGTGTGGGGAGTACTTACAGTTAAACTGCAGTGGCTTGGGTGATGTAGTCCAGGAGGGTGTTGGCTGGGTGTGCCAATAACTGGGGACTGACTGGGGACCTGCCAGTGGTCTGATGGGTGACTGAGGCCAGGCACTACCATGCCCTGTGCCTCAGTTTCTCCATATGCAAAGTGCATATTAAACATCAAACAATCGACTGTATTACTTTACCAAGTGGTTTGCTTGTAAAATGTGTGCTGGGCAGGAAGGCTGAAACTTGTAGTGCAGGAAAGGTGGTAAGAAAGAAGGTGGGGAATGAGTCTGTTCTCTCTCTTTCACCTGGATGAGAGCGAGCAGACAGCATGAAGGTGGAAAACTGCACAGAAGCTTTTAAACAACCCTGGGTTAGCTGTCTGCTTGTTCAAAAATGCCTCTTTGTGTTCAGTGTGAAACAGTGGAGTCCTCAGTCCAGATTGTCCCATTTACATTTCAGATCCATCTCAGCTGCCAACACGGGTGGCACGGCGCTAGCTGAGAATGCCACAGAGCAGCCAAAGGGCTATTTGACATTCAGGGGATGAGAGGGGAGAGGGGTCTGTTTTGCAGACACAGATAGGTAATCCACCTTTCATTGTAGTGGGTGCTTCCTGCCTGTGCCATAGAATAGAGTCTGAATTGATAATGCCCAATGTAAAGTTGACCTTTATTTGATATCTACTAAAGTAATTGTGCTTATTTTTCTTCTCTGAAGCTGTTGTTGTAGTTCTTTTTGAATCAGGAAGCAGCTCTGCCTTTATTAGCAGCATGGAAGGGCTGCTAGGGTTTGAGTAAAATGAAGGCTGCATGGTAAGGGTTTTCAGCAAAGCTTTGTGTGCAGCACTGGTAAAGCACCACCGTTTCCCATTTGGCCTTTGTATATAGGGAAATCCAGTTATGGCAGAGCCCTACTAACAGCCACCAGTGGTGCCACCTGCCCACTGCTGTGGTAGATCTGCTTTGCATCAGCGTGGGAAACCAGTTAGGAGCAGGCCATGAGGGCAGGGAGGTTCCTGTCCCTGTTCTTTCTAACTGAATGGTTTCCAGGATGTGAACCTCTGAGTATGTGCTTAATGTGCAGTCCTGTAATCTGCACTGGGCAGCCCTCATGCACTCTCTAAGAAGGATTTCGGTGCAGAATAAACATGTTTGCACACTGCTTTGGAACTCTTTGATGGGGAGGATGGACTTGTTAATGAAAAGTAATTGCAGAAACAGCAGAGCTGTGTCTGATAAATCAGAGCTGACTGGGAGACTGATGGTATCTGCACTTCTGCACAGGAAACCCATCCTTGGAAGGAAGAAGTTGCAACCTCATCCCAATATAATCCAGGTGATCCGAGCATTCACCTCCTCTGTCCCTTTGCTGCCTGGAGCCTTTGCAGACTATCCTGATGTTCTTCCATTAAGCCTGAATCCCAGAGGGATTGGTCACAGCCGCACGCTCTTCCTGGTGATGAAGAAGTAGGTACAGAGCAGCTTGTTAATGTGACTCAGGCTTTTTGTGAGACTCTGTGTTCTGCTGCTGCTGCATGGGTCCTTGCAAAAGGTTGCTCTGGGCTGCTGCCAGAAAGCAGAGTGTGCTCTTGGAAACACCTCCTGTGACCTGTGCCAAGTCCTTGAGATGTGAACTCCTGCTCAACAATGAAAACAAGCTGTTCTTTTTAATAATTACCCCAAATTAAAGTGAGAAATGTGCAGCCTGTCCCCATTTGTCTGTCCTTCTGAGGCTGAATTTCACCCCTGGTCTGAACACACCGCTAGAGACAGAGCAGAATCATTGATGAGATTTATGAGTGCTCTGTGGCTTGGCTTTCTCTGTTGGGTTTTGGTTTTGAATGGGTATTGCAGTGGCATGACCTAAAAGCACTTTCTGTTTCCCACTCTTTTGTTCTGCCTGTGTCTGGAGAAGCACTCTGTCCTCTCTCTATTCTGTGTTCTTTCTCCTGATGCATTTTGCTCATTATTAATCTGCCTCCTCTTTCATGTAAAAGAGAACACCACTACATAAATACCTGCAAGAGTGACTGCTGTGTACCCGAGTCCCTGTTCAAGAGCTGCTTTTATTCATGGCTCTTGAGCTCAGTGCTGAGCTCAGTGGTGGGTGTTGGTGCAAAACAGAGGGTTTAAGAACAGCAGACAGGGCGTTGGAAGTGAATGATCTGAAGCTGCTTTCCAACCCTAACTGTTCTATGATTCTGTGACAGGGATGTGGTGTCAGGGTGATGCTGGGAGGTGGGAAGGCATTGTGGAGGTCAGCAGGAATTTGGCCCATGTAAGTGCTGTATTCGCAGCCAGTCAGCACTGAGGTTGAACTACAAGCCATAAGCTTCCAGGATGCTAATTCCAAGCTTTTCCTTGTTCTCACTAGTTATCCCTGCACTCTGCGCCAGTATCTGGGGGAGAACAGCCCAGATGTTCGTCTCTCCACGATGATGATCTTACAGCTCTTGGAAGGTGTGGACCATCTTGTTCGCCATGGAATAGCACACAGAGACCTGAAGTCTGACAACATCCTGGTTGAATTTGATTCTGGTATGTCATCAAATGCTGATGGAGTCAGGCAGAGAACTGCTGTATTTGTGAAGGTGTTCAGGGAGGTTCTACCCAGGTTTGGGGGAAGAGCAAGCATCAAACCCTTTGAAGAGTCTGAGGTTTGGTTTTTAGCTTACTGCTTGCTGTCACTGCAGCACTGGGGACCTCATTGATAGATGAATGTCTGTGCCTCAGGTTTTGGATCGTTAAAACAGGCTTGAAAGGAACGTTGTGCTATAGTCAGGTGGAGAGATGCAGCATATTGCTGAGGTGATCCACTTCACAACACAGTGAACCAGCAGATGGGTGTAGAGTAACACTGCATTTGTGATGCTGGAGATGCCTTTGCTCAGGCTCTTGGCTCTCATCTCCCTAGCTGAATCACACAGGGCAAATCTTCAAATCTCACCTCATGGTGAGGTTATGGGATGACGGGACATGGGTTGGAAGGGAAAGGGACCAACAGTGTTGAAGTCAAAAGCAGCTGGAGAGGGTTCAAACTGAAAGAGGGGAGGTTCAGGCTGAAGATAAGGCAGAAGCTCCTCCCTGTGAGGGTGCTGAGGCGCTGGCACAGGGTGCCCAGAGAAGCTGTGGCTGCCCCATCCCTGGCAGTGTTCAAGGCCAGGTTGGATGGGCCTTGCAGCAACCTGGTCTTTAAAGGTGTCCCTGCCTGTATCAGGTACCACCATGTCCTCCCAAAACAGATGCTGACTCTGCTCCCCTGTGTCATTTGCAGCTGGCTGCCCCTGGCTGGTGATCACAGACTTTGGTTGCTGTTTGGCAGATGAAAACATCGGCTTGAGACTGCCTTTCACCAGCTCTTACGTGGATCGGGGCGGCAATGGCTGTCTTATGGCACCCGAGGTACATCCCCCTGGTAGCAGTGGTTCGTGTTGCTGCTTGTCCTGCTGTCAGGATGGAAAGCTCCAGCCTCTGGTGCAGGCTGTGACTGGAACTTGAAAAAGGGTGGGATTAAGTCTGAAAGAGGCAGAGGGGACACATGCACATTGCTTTGCTGGGATTTGTCCCTGAGCCTTCCCCTGTGTGTACACACCACTGCTCTCTGGTGTGTTCCCATGAAAGCCTCTGCTGTCAGATCGATTTTCTACCTGTTCCTCCTTATTGACGTAACTTGGTCATGCGAGAATAACCTGATGCTGGTTACTGCATAACTGATGTCACCCACGGCGAGCAGCATCTCCTCAGGCTGTGCAGGAGATCTGTGTCTTGAGTTATGCTTGCTAAACATCCCTGCATTAATGAAGGAGGTCCTCTTCAGACCCGTGCTGAGCAGCTGTGGAACCAACACCTTGAGCTGTAAAGGGTGAAACGTAACCAGTCCCTGTTAGAAGCAGAACTGAGCTGTCCCACAAAAAGTTTGCTGTTTGTTTTTCTCTCAGGGCCTTTCCTATGTAGCTGTTGAAGAAGTTTCTGCAGATAAACCCCTTGTGTTGCAGCAGTAGTTTCTGGGTGAAGTTCAGGGGGCTGTGAAATTATTTATTGTTCTCTTTATTCTCTGATAGTAACCCTAAGAGAAGCGAGCACACCCTTAACTGTCTGCTTGACCTGGTCTTGCTTAAGGGCTGGTGCAGTTCATCTGCCTGTCGCCAATCCCAGTGTGAAACAGTCCTTGGGAATGCTGGTCAGGAGCGATGACTAAAGCCTGGGTGCAGTGGCCAGATTCCTCCCAGTGTCCCAGTAGTCTGAGTAATGTCAAAGGCTATGGGCATGCCTAAAGGAATATTTAGACCAGAGATTTAGATGAAGCAGCTTTGGGTTCAGCCTCTCTCAGTTTATTACAGTGGGAATGCTGACTCAAGCCTTGGAGATCAGTGTTAGCACAGAGCCCATGCTAGAGCTGTTTGTCTGAACACCCCCATCTCTGTGGCAGGTGATCACAGCCTCGCCTGGTCCAGGCACAGTGATCAACTACAGCAAATCTGATGCTTGGGCTGTTGGAGCCATCGCCTATGAAATCCTTGGCCTGGCCAATCCTTTCTACGGCCATGGGGCCTCGGCTCTGGAAAGCAGAAGCTACCATGAAGATCAGCTCCCCAGCCTGCCCGACCATGTGCCCCTCGAGGTGAAGCAAGTGATAAAGATGCTGCTTCGGAGGGATCCCAACAAGGTAAGAAGATGTCTTGAAGATCTCTGTCATCTGACTGTAGATCACCATGGAGGGCTACAGATTCAGGGGGCTGTAATCCAGATGTCATTGCAGTCTGGATAACAAGAAAGACAAGCAAAAAGTCTTTGCTGCTGTGCCACTGCACGTCAGAGATATCCCTGAGTAGGTTCAGGGACAGGCCAAGGGGAATGGCTTGAACCTGCCCGAGGGGAGACTGAGCTGAGCTCTTAGGCAGAAGCTCTTCCCTGTGAGGGTGCTGAGGCGCTGGCACAGGGTGCCCAGAGAAGCTGTGGCTGCCCCATCCCTGGCAGTGCTCAAGGCCAGGTTGGACACAGGGGCTTGGAGCAAGCTGCTCCAGTGGAAGGGGTCCCTGCCCGTGGCAGGGGTTGGAGCTGGAGGAGCTTTAAGGTCCCTTCAACCCAAACCAGGCTGGGATTTCAGTGGATTTTTTGTGTTAGGGCACTGGTTGGGGGGTGTCCATGCAGCTGCCCAGTATTAATGGACACAAGGAGCTTTTCAGTTTGCAAGGCTGATGCCTTAGAGGAGGCCTGGGGCTCATTGGGCAGCGTGGGTGCTACATGGAAGCGCAGCAGGAGCAGCTCATCCTCCCTCTCCCTCCTTTCGCAGAGACTCTCTGCCAGGGTTGCTGCCAACGTGCTTCACTTGAGCCTCTGGGGTGGAAGCATCCTGGCGAGCCAGGCCCTGGAACCCGACCAGATGGTCACCTGGCTCCTGTGCCAGTCTGCAGGCGCCCTGCTCACGGAGGGGCTGGTGGGGGAGAGCCTGGTGGAACCCAAGATGAAGATGTGCTTTCTGGCAAACCTCGAGTACGAAGAGCTCTGGGCAGCCGCATTCCTGCTGCTGGCCTGGAGGAGCCGCTCTGAGCACAGCACAAGCCCATGATAAACGGTTCTCTATGGGCACATGGGAGCCTGTCTTTTCTGTCTGCCTGGGATCCTGCAGCACTTAGGGAACAAACCTGCAGGCCCGTGTGGAAGAGGTTGAGTTTCTCTCCAGCATTAGCACACACTGCTTTTCTCTCCTGCTAGAGGAAATGTCTCTGCTTCATTACTGCCTTGGTGTGAGGCTGTGCAGACCTTGCAGGTGTCCTGAGGTTCGTGGTTGGGGTTGATCACATTTGGGAGTTCTGAGTTGTGTGTTGGATGAAGAGGAGGGTGTGTGGGGAGGAGGCACTGTCTAACTGCTCTTCCCACTGGAGCATCCCAGTTTGGAACAGTACATGGAGAAAGCCAGGCTGGGAAAGGGATGTGCGAGCTCTCTGTCCTTAGGGAATCCAGTGGTGCCCTGAGGGTGCTGTTCCTCTGCAGCCACTGTGGAGTGCCAGCCAAAGCCTCCTAGTGAGGTGCTGTCTGGTAACAAGTGTCAGGAGTGCTGGCTGCAGATGAGAACACACCATGAAACACCCCAGGAGCTGTATGTGGAGCACATTGAGCTCAAACCCCTCTGAGGTTTGTGTCTTGCCTGGTCAGGCTGTCAAGGTAGGGATAACACTGCATTAGAATGGGGCTGAGCAGTGGTGCCTGCTTAAAGAACACAGTTTAATGCTCTTCTGTTTTACTGACCTGTTTTTCAATGCTGTAATACCCTTTGGTTGGGGAGGACACATCAAGGTTTGAACAACAACAGTCACGTTTATGAAGCCATCGTTCATTTTCATGTCTAGAATGGTGTTCAGAGGAACATGGGCAGGGAGTTATTGCTGCACAATAAACTGGTTTATGCTCCTCTGCTGCATGGGGTCCCTCAGCCTCGTGTGTCTCTGTGGTGGGTCTGGGCTTTAGGCTGCAGATGCACTGGGACAGCATAGCCGTGGTTTGGGGCTGCCTTTAAAGCTCATCCAGCTCTGTGGTGCTGCCTGTGGACCGTGTTCTGCCATCCCCCAAGTGGAGCCTCCCGGAAAGGACTGGACTTTGCCTCCTGAATGTGCCCATTTCTCTCCCTGCTCCTGCAGTTCCCAGGTCAATGACATCGTGTGTCAGTGCCGGTAGCCCCCATCTCCCTGCAGTAATGAACGTGCCATCAGCATCTCACACAGTGAACCAGCGCCTCGTTCAGCAGCCCCTGGGCCTGGAGTAGCCCCGTTCATGGAGCCTGGGATGGAGCCTCAGCAAAGAGCCTGGGGAATCAGGGAAAATGAGCTCTTTGGGGAAAAAACTTGTGGAAGAGGAAGGTGTTGGAACAGACCTGACCCGTGTCTCACTGTGGGGCCTGGTCCTGAGCACTCACTGGAGCTCTTTGGTGGGTGAACGCTGGTGCTTTCCTGGTGGCTCCCTGCTCCCACCTCTCTTCCTGCTGTTCCGTGATCTGAGAGGGGGCTGGATCAGCAGGACACGGCTCCGATGTGCCCCGCTGAAAACACACACATTCCATATCCAAACCCACTGCGTGGAGCAGGCTTTCTGCTGGGAGCATCGTCCATCTCCTTGCCCTTTCTCTCACTGCCCCAGTCACTACCCGAGCAGGGAGCAGCACCAGGAGCCAGAGCTGCCTGGTTTCAAGCACGTCGGGATCAGCCCAAGCGGGGTTTGCTCTGTGCTGGGTAACTCCAGACCCTGGAACTCGCCTCACGGCATCTCTGTCCCCAAACCCTTGTCCCGCAGCGCCGCCCCTGCCGCTCAGATCCGTGCCCTTTGGTCCCTGGGGAGCAGCGGAGGCACAGGGGCAGTGTCTGGAGCTGTGTGTGCTGCCGCAGCCCAGGCTCCGTGGGGCAGGATGAGGCTCCTGCTGCGGGCAGTGGGGCTCTGCGCTCCCAAGCTGTCCCTGACCCCTGCAGTGGCCTCCTCTGGCTGCTCCCCCTCTGTGCCCATGGGGCTGCCCCGGCACCCGGCCCGATGGGGCTCTGGCTTCCATGTGCCCCCCAGCGCTGAGGCCGTGGCGCGGCCCGTGGGGATCTGCTCCATGATGAAACTGCCCGTGCGGGGCTCAGCGGCGGGGCTGGATGCGGCCTTCGTGGGCGTCCCGCTGGACACGGGCACGTCCAACCGCCCCGGAGCCAGGTAAGGGTCAGCGGTGATGGGGACGGGGCGGGCGCCATTCCTGGCTTCGGGAACTGTGCCCGGCACCGCTTCCCACCCGTGGTGCGTCCCCAGGTTCGGCCCGAGGCAGATCCGGGCCGAGTCGTTGCTGCTGCGGAGGTTCAACGGCAGCACCGGGGCTGCCCCGTTCGATTCCCTGCGCGTGGCTGACATCGGGGACGTGAACGTGAACCCCTACAGCCTGCCCCAGAGCTGCCGCCTCATCCGCGGCGCCTTCCAGGACATCGTGGGCTCCGGCTGCGTGCCCCTCACCATGGGTAAGGACCCGCGTCCCCCCATGTCCCTGCTCACCCCAGCTCCCCCCTTCACTCAGCGTGAACACAGCAGGAGGTGGGTGATGGACGTGCCCCGCACTGCTGAGCTGGGGGGAAGTTCCATAGAACCCCGATCTGGTTTGTATTGGAAGGGACCTTAAAGCTCCTCCAGCTCCAGCCCCTGCCACGGGCAGGGACCCCTTCCACTGGAGCAGCTTGCTCCAAGCCCCTGTGTCCAACCTGGCCTTGAACACTGCCAGGGATGGGGCAGCCACAGCTTCTCTGGGCACCCTGTGCCAGCGCCTCAGCACCCTCACAGGGAAGAGCTTCTGCCTTATCTCCAACCTGAACTTCCCCTGTTTCGGTTTGAACCCATCACCCCTTGTCCTGTCGCTCCAGTCCCTGATGAGGAGTCCCTCTCCAGCATCCTTGCAGCCCCCTTCAGACACTGGAAGCTGCTCTGAGGTCTCCAGGCTGGCCTCTCTGCCAGATTACTGCCATCAGTGTTGCCCCTTGTGTCAAACCCGAGGCTGGCTCGGCCAAGAGCCTGTTTCAGTGCTCCCCTGCAAGCACAGCCCAAAGCTCAGCTCTGAACACAATCAGCAATGGGCTTTTTGTTGAGCAGGACCCAAAGAGCAGTTTGTGGCCTTCTGGAAAGCCTCGAGCTTGAGTGAGCGCCCAGCATCGTCCTGCTCTGCACAGGGCATGGATTGGGCCAGTGTTCAAGTTCTGCCTGTCACAGCTTGGCATCGCTGGATGAAGTGAGTGTGGCCAGTGATGAGGGACAAACCATCTATGATGGAGTCCCCAGAGGCCAATCAAACACCAGTTTATAAGCTGTCCTGCTGGCACTCCTGCATCTCTGGTCCTCCCAAGGAGGGAAGAGGAGGGAGGAAGCAGCCTGTACCTGGTAGCCTTATTTTCCTTTGGGAGTTAAGCTCTGGGGTATATAAACAAGTGCAGGATAAAAGCAAGGAGGGAAAAACATCACTTGAGTGATGCGACTGAGTACTGAGCACCCCCTGCAGTGTTACACGCTCTTCTCTTGTCCTGTTGCAGGTGGGGATCACACCATAACGTACCCCATCCTGCAGGCCGTGGCAGAGAGGTATGTTTCTGATCTGGAGATGTAGGAGAAGGATCTGGGAAGGAGCTTTGGGCAGGTTCCTGCTTTGCTGTGATGGGGAATAACGTGGCCGCCCTGTCTCGACCAGGCATGGCCCTGTGGGGCTGGTGCACGTGGATGCTCACACCGACACCGCAGACAGAGCCCTGGGGGAGAAGATCTACCATGGGACCCCATTCCGGCGCTGCGTGGAGGAAGGGCTGTTGGACTGTGGGCGCGTGGTCCAGATCGGCATGCGGGGCTCCTCCTATGATCCCCATCCTTACAAGTACTCTCGGGACCAGGTAAGCTCAGTGAAGGGCTTCTTCCTTTCCCCACTGTTGATATTCCCATGTCAGTAACACCCCCTTGGCTTCAGCAGGAAGAGAAATGTCTTTTCTGTGCCTTGGGATGAGCACTCCCAGTGCCTTGAGCCATGAGCGGAGCAGGGAACGAGGGGTTCCCACCGGGGCAGGGGATGCTCCGCTCTGCCTGTGTGTCCCTGTGCAGGGGTTCAGGGTGGTCCCGGCTGAGGAGTGCTGGATGAGGTCCCTGGTGCCGCTGATGGCGGAGGTGCGGCAGCAGCTGCGGGACCACCCGGTGTACATCAGCTTCGACATCGATGGGCTGGACCCCGCGTACGCACCGGGCACCGGGACACCGGAGGTGGCCGGGCTGACACCGGCGCAGGTGAGGGGAGGCAGTGTCTTTTCCCAGGGACGGGGATGGTTTTGCTCCTGTTACAGGAGGTTGTGCTGCAAGGGAAGCATTAAGGGAGAGCAGGGAGCGTTTCGTAGCAGGGATGAGGAAAGGAAACGCTGAACGGGGGTTTGGAACAGGGAACACTGAAACTTGAATGGGAAGTTCAGCTTAGACCTAAGGAAGAACCTTACATCTACGCCTCACATGGTGAGGCGCTGGCACAGGGTGCCCACAGAAGCTGTGGCTGCCCCATCCCTGGCAGTGCTCAAAGCCAGGTTGGACACAGGGGCTTGGAGCAAGCTGCTCCAGTGGAAGGGGTCTCTGCCCATGGCAGGGGTCGAGACTGGGAGAGCTTTATGGTCCTTTCCAACACAAACCAGGCTGGGATGCTATGAACTGATGCAGTTTGACCTCTACACTTTGGGTTTCCCCCTGCACGTGGGAAAAGCAGAGCCCAGACCATTCCACTACCTCTGATGTGTTTCTTGATCCCAAACCCATTTTCTTTCCTAGGCTTTGGAGATCATTCGTGGCTGCAAAGGCCTGAACATAGTGGGATGTGACCTTGTCGAGGTTGCACCCATGTACGACGTCTCTGGTGAGTCTAAAGACAGTGGAGAGTGAGAAGTGTGCTTGGCAAAGGCACTGACCACCGTGGTTTGGGGTTTTCCCCCCATTCTTGACTGTTTCAGGTAACACAGCCCTGCTGGGGGCAAACCTGCTCTTTGAGATGCTCTGCGTTCTCCCTGGGGTGAAGACCATGTGAGGGCAGCTCCCGCCTGCCCCAGGGGCCGGGTTTGCTCAGCTG